GAAGTCATCCCTCACCTGCACCTCTGGGGGGATTTTCATCTTTTCCTGAAAGACCTGGTGCTGTCCCCATCGAACCAAGGACGTTGTTCTAGACGGGCCTGATAATGCCTGGCAGATCCTGGTTTTGCATCCCACTGAAGCAGGCTACTTCTGTCCCAAAGGCTGGAGATGCTGCCGCTCGCCCCAAGCGTGGCGGCGCCAGCAGCAGCCGCCATGCTCTCTCCTGGGCTGTTCGCTCCCCGCTGGCGCTGGAGCGGTGGCTGGATGGCCTCTGCAGGGCGCTGGCCGAGGCAGGGACAAACACGGCTGCCTCTTCCCATTGCCGCCGGCTCACATCACAGCGACCCAGGCTTAGCCCTGCAGGGACAGCAGCCAAAGAGGATGGGCTGCAGGACTGGGGGCCTCGTCCCTGCGGGGAGCAAGGAGCAGCGTGCCGGCCGCAGAGAGGGCACCGGAGGGGCGATGCGACTCCTGCACCAGCCCTAGGCCCTGTGGTGGCAGCAGGGGACCTGCCCAGCCCAGCCTGTGCCTCCGATGACCAAGATGAGGTGCCGGGTGCTGGATACAACGCGAGCTGGGCTCATGGGAAGAGATAAACATCTCTGTGCAGAAAAAGAGGGAGATGAGGAAGGGGAGGGTGTAGTGAGGGCCAGGAGATGCTCCGTGAGCAGGGGTCAGACTGGAGTAGCACGACGTGCAGCTTCTCTGGGGTAAGATGTAAAGACAGCTGAGAAGTCATGGAAGCTGTGATGCTGAGGGTGCTTTTGATATTGCAAAAACGGGCATTTGAGAGCCAAATTCTTGAGATTAGATACTAGCTTAGACTAAAAAAAACAAACCTTTTTTTTCTCTCTCTCCCATGCAAGCACACATACCCCTTCTGCTGTAACTTGTGATCTTTTTTTCTGGACTTGTGCTCTCAGGAAAAGCGCTGCGAATACAGACAACAGTTGAGAGGAAGGGGCAGTTTATTTCTGGGCTGTTATCAGTCTGGCTGCTGCAACTCCTCTGCTGCTGTCTTCCGAGAGCAACAGACCTGTCCCACGCCTTCTGGAGGAAACTGTAGTGCAAGGTTTCTGCCCTGCCTTGTGCACTGTGAAATGGCTTTGCGCGCTGCCAGATAGGTTGTGAAATGTCACTGTGCTGCGCTGGCAGCGTTACTGCTGTAAAACGACCTGGTGCTCAGAGCTGGTCCGTGAAAGAGCCAGAATATGGCCCTGCTCCTGGGACTGCCAGTCCCGTCCTGGTCCGGGCTGACTCCCACAGCTCCATCCCACTAACATGCAGCAAGCACAGAGTGAATTAACCTAATTAAAAAAATGAGAACGAAGGGAAATATGACGGAGGAAAATCATTGCACATTTAATTGAAAAACTCCATCTCTGAAATTGGCCAAGATGATGTTCCCTTTGCTGGTTTCTCAAGAACAGCTACATGCATTTCTAGTCCTGCCCACTCCACGTGGTTTGGGAAAGCATGATGGCCAGCTATCGGTGTGCTTATGCGCTCCAGGCAAAGCTAAGCTTTCGAGCACTTGCTAACCACAGTTGCAACCAGATTTTCCCATGTGGATATAAATCTAGAAACTCGTTTCTTTTTAAAACTGCTGGGTACTGAGAGAGCTGAGCAGTTAGCTGGAAGCTTTCAGAAAGTGAGAAGTTTTGCTTGGGGCGGGGGGGGAAGAGCAGTTTGTTTGTTTGAGCTCGAGACATCCATTTGATGCACCTCAGTTTCAACAAACTTAAGCCAACCAAACAGAAAATTCCCAGATGACCGTATATATATTCCCCGGGACCTGGACTCTGGGAACAGCATGGTCCTCCGCTCCAGGGCTGCATCTCCTGGCGGTGAAATGCATAGGAACGTCAGGGTCGCTGGCAGGTCCAAGAAACCTCTGGTTCACTGGACATCTGAGATTTCGGCCTAAAACCAGCAGGGCCAGAATATCAACCATTCTGATCCCGGATGGGTCTTTTGACACTGATTGTTAATTGTTTCCAGCGCAGGATCTGGTGCAGGGGTTTTTTGGTGTTCTTTTGTTTCCCCCCCCATGTTGGCTAATCAGTCTTTGGGTGGTGGTGTTGGTGTTTTGTTTTTTGCCTGGGCAAGATGCAGAGAAGCTTCTTCACACTTAGGCTGACCAGCCAGATTTCAATGGCTTTTTTGAGAGGCACTTGGAGGCACCACAGCCAGGATCACCACTTGGTGCTGCTGCTCTTCAGTGGCTGCAAAATTAGTGGCTTTTGGAGAGTCGTGGCATTGACGCTACGTGGATGTGAATCTTTCAGATGTCCTGCTCGTTCCAAAGGATCATTTTGGGGAACTATTTCTCAAAAATCAGAAATATTGAAAAAACTAGTTGTAGGATGGAAATGAAGAATGTACAAATGAATAAGTGGAAGGTGAAATTTAGGTTGAAAGCATAGAATTATCTGAATTTTCATTTAACTAGGACACTTCCTTTTTCAAAAAAGTGCTTTCTTCACCTAGAAACACCTATCTTTCTAGAGGTTCTCCCATCTAAGCAATGATTTTTATCTTGCTCTGCTTGCTTACGAAAACTGCCCAGAGGTCAAAGCGCAGGGGTGTTAATGCTGTTTATAAAGAAATGTTATTCTACTCCTCTCCTAAACAGCCATCCTTAGAGAGGGGTGTTTGTATGACTGTGTATATGCAAGGAGCTGTCGTGATAATATCGCGTAGAGAAATGCGGAGGGATAGCGTGGAGGGGTGACAGAATCATCTGTGAGGGGTTATCCCGCCAGGTTTCCGATACCAGCTCATTGCACGTCGGACCCAGGAATACCCAGAAGTGCATGCAAAACCATGCTGCGAAATGCCACCTAAAGCTTATTCAGCCCGCTCCTCGCCCCCTCTTGTGCGCTGCCCTGATGCACGTTGCAGGGCAGCGAATCCATGGGTGTTTCCCCTGCCCCGCTGCGGGGTCGGTACTGCTGCGGGGTCGGTGCTGCTGCGGGGAGGGCGAGGTGCCCTGCCTGCCCACCGCCGCAGCCCAGCACGCGGCCGCCCGGAGCATCTCCTGCCGCAGCGCCAGGCTGAGAAACAGATCCAGCTGTCACCGGAGTCTCGCTGATTTTTATTTTATTTTGGGATTTGGGTTGAATTGGTGGGTTTATGTGGTTTTTTAGAGAGAAAAGGTTTATCCATGCGAGTTGCTGCCTGCGGTGGACAGTGCCTTCCTAACGACAGAGGGGTGGGGTGGTGGCGAAAGCTCTGGGGAAGAGGCAGTCCGACTGCAATCCCAAATGCTGACCCTTGAAGATGAGCAGAGAGATTCGCAAATAGCGCACAGCAAGGCTTCGAGCAGTTGGCCTCGGGAGCACACACAAAGCAGAGGTGTTGCCAGGTCCCCAGCCGGCCTGGGGCTCTTTCCAGGCTCTCCGAAGCAGCACCTGGCTGCACTTGTTCCTTGGTGGGAGGGTGTCCCGTGCCGGGGGAGCGGGACGGCTGTGCAGAGCTATGCGCCGTTCAGATTCACGCCGCTCTTTCAAACGTGCTTGAAAAACTGTGCACGGCTTGCTTTGTGCAGCCAGGGCTGAAACCGGATCGCCCGGCACACGGTCGGAATAAAGCTAGCTCAGTCCCTGGGGTTGTTTAGCCTGGAGCAGAGGAGGCTGAGGGGAGACCTTATTGCTCTCTACAACTGCCTGAAAGGAGGCTGTAGTGAGGTGGGGGTCGGTCTCTTCTCCCTAGTAACAAGTGATAGGACAAGAGGAAAGGGCCTCAAGCTGCGCCAGGGCAGGTTTAGGTTGGATATTAGGAAAAACTTCTTCACCGAAAGAGTAGTCAGGCACTCGACCGGGCTGCCCAGGGAGGTGGTTGAGGCTCCATCCCTGGAGGTATTTAAAGAACAGATAGATACGGTGCTTGAAGACATGGTATAGATGGACTTGGCAGCGATAGGTTGACAGTTGGACTTGATGATCTTAAGGGTCTTTTCCAACCTTGACAATTCTATGATTCTGTGATTAAGTACCTGCTAATTTGACTGAAATGCGATTGTGTGCTCGGACATAGTCCGGATCAGATGGGCTTGGCAGTCGTGGGGCCGCAGCCGCCTCTTCCGACGGCCGGTGTGTCGGGGTATTCAAGTGCCGGGCTCTCGCGGCGGTTCTGGCTGGTGTCTGCCTGTGTCCCGAGACACCCGCATCCGCAGAAGCTTGTTATTTGGTGCGCTTTCTAAAATACCGTGTGTAGGCATTTCTGAATTCTGAAAAGTGTTTGCTGGGTGGAAGTGAGAAACTCCAAAGTAAATTACTCAATTTTTTTCCCTTTTTTCTTCTCTTTTTAAGACAAGAATCTCAGCTTGGCATACACAATTTAAGCACGGAAGGATGTTTTTATCGGAGGTGCAGCGATTTGTCTGATTTGTCTGATTCAGTGATTTTTCTGATTCAGTTGATATTACTGTAGCCAAGATCCTTTAGATATCCTGGTAAGCTGGTGAGTAACGTGGGCAGTTTATGCCACTGGTTAGCTGAAGAAAATTGTGAGTCAAAAATATTTGCATCTGAGCCTTCTAAATGTCTGATGAAAAGTTCACTGGGGAAAAAAAAAGAGCGTAAGACTAAATTGCAGGGCAGTTATTTCTAGAGAGTGGTGGAGTAGTGTTGATTTTGCATTATTAAGACTTTGTCAAAGAAAATGAATAGGGATGCTGGAAGAATATATGTGGGCTTCTTATTCAAAGCAAACAATGGGAATTGCTATTTATATAACATGACTGTAGCGCCGGGAACAGTATATTAGCTGATTAGCAAAATGAAATTCTTTGTATAGCTTCATCTTTACTTTTAAAATCATTTCTCAGGAAAGGCGGATGATGTGGAGTGGGGGAGACCTCTTTTTCTCTCTTTGGTGTTCTTGGAGGAATTGGTTATTTGTTACTCTGTGTCCGAGGTGTTGGAAAGGCCTGAGACCCAGGCAGCTTTGCTGTGCGGCTCTGTGTCTTTACCCGTGCTCCCCGGCGCGCGTCCGCCATGCCGCGCTCCCCCGCGCTGAAGGCTGCAGGCAGAGAGGTTGCCTGTTGCCCCAGCGATGGGAAGGAGGGTGCCCGGGGAGCGCAACGCCGGCCGTCCCTGGGCTGCCGCTGCCAGGCCAGCAGATCTCGGGAGCAGGCGCCTAACGGTGAGCACGGAATCATGGAATGCTTTGGGATGGAAGGGACCTTTAAAGGCCATCCAGTCCATCCCCCTGCCATGGGCAGGGACATCTTCAACCAGATCAGGGTGCTCACAGCCCTATCCAGCCTGGCCTTGAATGTTTCCAAGGATGGGGCACCTACGACCTCTCTGGGCAACCCCTTCCAGTGTTTCACCACTGAGCATTCCCATCCCCAGCCAGAAAAGCCCAGGCTGTTTCAATGAGCAGGCCCGGGCTTAAACACAGCTAGTCTGAACGTTCAGCGTGCAATAAGGCGCTCTGGTGAATCAAGTTAATCCCTACCAAACCAGAGTCTGGCTCCGTGTCCGCTTGCCTGCGCTTCGTGCAGGTTTCGGAGGATGCGCACGTTGTTCTTCAGCCGTTACAGATGTATGTACTCTGCCGTGGAAGGCTGTAGGAAGCAACCAGGGAAGGCTGGCCCTATTGCTCCATGCTGCCGTCGGGTCTCGGAGAGAGATTTTTTTTTTTTTTTTTTTTTCTTCCCTCCAGAAGAAGCTCCGGGATGCCAAGGTGAGGAGCAGAGCAGCCGTCCCTGGCTAGCAGCGGGGGCGTCGGGCGGCGTGGTGCTGGGGCTCTGCTCCTGAGCAGCAACGATCCCTGCAGAGCAGGCCAAGTACAAGGGAGGGGGAGAGACCCCTCGCCTAAGGATTTAATGAAACTGCTGAATTACCAGATAATGAAAGGATGGCACACTGGGTAATTAACTCACTGAAACGGTATCTTGAGCACCAGAGAGTCTTCTTGCAAAGGCTGGCTATTTACTTAAAATATCATTGCCTTTGTAACTCTATGGCTTTGTTAGGAGCAGAAACCGAGGGCTCATTTACTTCCCTAATTAACGACGTAACCTATAATTACCCAAAATGTTACAGAAGATCATCACAAAATGCATTACAAGCAGCTGACTGGACACCTGACTGCTCATCTGATAGCTTTGAACAGGCGAGATGGATTTGTCATGCCAAAGCGATTTCTACGGGAACGCAGCCTGGGTGACCTAGTTCTGTACCGTGACGTTGTCGCATCACCGAGCCCTGTGGAAATGCGAAATATTAGTGGCATCCCCATAATAACGTCAAGTGGGAGGACGGCAACACTTGTGATGGATAGGGAAGGTGGCTCCTGCACGTGCCAAAATTTAGGGAGGAGCTATGGAAGGATCCTGAGGAAGGGTCCTATTCCTCTTTCATAGGCGACTCGGTGCGTGAGGGGTTCTGCTGTTGCCGGTGGCCTCCGTGAAGCGGGGGTGACCTACCTCGATTGCAGCTTGCGGTGCTGCTGTGAGCTTTTGCAAGGGGACGCCTGTGCTTGCTGCAGCTGCCTTCGTGCCAGCTGGGCAGGGGCCAGCCCTCGCCCGACGGCTGTGTGGGTTCATTCGGCTCTCGGAGGTGCCGGCGGTGTTGGCCGGCCAGCAGCTCGGCTGGGTGCGAGTCTGGTGACATCCACCCTCTTGGCCCAGCAGCAGCAGAAGTGCAGCTCTGTCTGCAAAGCCCTGCCCAGAAGGCCCCAGTGCAGCGTTTCAGAGCTGGTGCAAGCGAGGGGACGTGTCCTTCCCTGCTGCCAGCAAAGCGGTGGAGACGGGGCTGCCCACGGGACAGAGGCCAGGGTTTCTTTTTGCCTGGAGAAATTCCCATTTTGCGGTGGATACGGATCTAACTGGCCTCACATGGTGTGAACCTCGCAGTGATCTGTACACTATGGTTTTTCTCAACCGAGAATATTCCATTTCTATTGATGGTTCAGCTCTTTTACAGCTGGTGTTGTCTCCATCTCTGTTCTTTTGAAGCAGATGCTTAGCTGGTGGTACCTGGCATATCCACATCAGCTAGTGGAGAATTGCTCCCCTAATTAAGTTTCTGAGCATGGAAACAGAGATGAGCCTACCGTTTCTTTCTATTTGAATTAGAAAAAAATCTGATGCCGAGCAGAAGTTTAATTTTCTCTCCTGATTTTCTTTGCCTGGGCTCAAGTTTTGTTTTAAGGCAATTAGGAGCACAAAAATGCTTGTGGTTAACAGCCAGCATTACCTAACAAACTAATGGAAAAGCAGTCTTATGAATTAGCAGTTTAATGCCAGTAGCTTTTGGGTATTTTCTTTGATATTTTGTGTGTGTGTGTGTGTGTCTGCGTGCGTGTGTATGTAAGTGTATTGCTTAAACTGCATTTAACTTCCATGGGGTCAGTCCTATTCTGTTTTAAAGCAGCCTTAATATTATTTAAGTTTGGAAATGACTAGAGGTAAATCAAATTTAGGTCATTTTGCTTCTGAATAAGAACTTGCACTGAGGGATCGAATGCAGTTTAACTAATCCACTTAAAGTTAAGCAGTGACTTAATTTAGATTATTTTTCCTGAGCATGTCTGTCTGTGTAAGACTGTGCGCTGCTTTCCAACCCGCCCTGCTTTACTAGGGATGTAGTGATGTGGTAGCCAGCAGAATTAAACCCACTTACGCCAGCTGAGTGCTAGGTCCTGAAGTGCAAAATTAAAAAAAAAAAAAAAAAAAAAAAAAAATTGGAGAAATGAAGTCATGGTCTGGGTGAGGTTTTATTTCTCTTGTTTCTAAATAGCCAGTAGAAATACGACGCATATCTATTCAGGAAAAAAAAAAAAAATACTGCATATTGGACAAGAATTTGAAGTATACCCGGTGGAAACTACCCTCAAGCTACCCCTGACACACACAGTTTGAAGATCATCTCCTTGCCGGGGCTGTTGGGATGACCGCGCCGCTCGGCTTTCTGGCCCGGGAGCATGCGTCTGGCTCGGGGCGTGAGGCGTCCCCGGAGCAAAGCCCCGAGAGCCCCCAGCTGCTGCGCTGTGCGCAGGGGCGGCTGGATGAGGTTCTCGGGGTGATTTCATGGTCCCACCTGACTTTTAAAATCCGTTACCTCTTTATTTGTTTTTTAAAAAATAGAGTGTCCTGATGCACGTTAACTTAACATACGTGGCATTTACATAGCAGGCTGTTCAGTATTAGCAAAAATAACTAGGGCTAATTTGCCACTCAGGTGAGCACAGGTACGTTTTGTGATGTAGCTGCCCTCCTTTTTAATAGTGATTGCTCACCCGGTAAATGGTAAAGTGTTCCCTTTCACATAAGGAGTTTCATTTATTAGTGCAAACAAATGAAATTCTGGCTGATTACTTAGGAGCCTGGTTCACCACAAATTACTGATTTCTCCCCAATTGAAGTAGGGGCTGGTCTTGCTGCTTTTGCAGTACCGCTCCTTTACACATGCAGGACTGTCAGGGTTTTTCTTAGCAATGGCCGTTCCCGGGTGGGTCAGCCCCGTGGCTCTGCAGGGGACCTGCTCGTGGGAGGTGTTACGTGAAGTGGGATTTGAGGAGTAACTGTAAGGCTTTGGGGACGGCTGCCGCCCGCGGCCCAGGAGGGCGCCCAGCTGCCGAGCCCTCAGCCCGGCCCCGGGCGCACCGGGGCTCCATCCCGACCGGCTCACACCTGGCGTCGCGGCACCGTAACGGCTGGGGGGGGGGCGGGGGGCGGGGTTTGGGGGGCCC